TGGGAAAGCTTAACTCTATTCCTGGGAAAAAAAAGTAAAAGCAAGTCGCCTCCCTCTATGTATGAACTCATTATGTTGCAGTTTGAAGAGAAGCAATTTCTGCATCAGTATATGAATTTTTAAAAAATCACATAAACTTATTCAAAGGTACAAATCGTGAATGGTTGGAAGCAGGAATGATTAGGAACAGACAGAAGCTTAACCATCATCTGCTTCCATTGCTTGGGAGCTGTGGGCTGAGTCCATGGGGCTGGAGGTGTGAGGTCTTCATGTTCCATCTAAGTGCTTCAAACTGCTGCATTCAGACCTTCACAAACTCTGCTCCGATTACTGTAGTCCTTAATCCCAGTCTGGGTCTGGGATTATCTGATTGAACACAGGGGCTGTTGGCATGTGGGGATCTAGTACTGCCTGATAATGAGATCAAGTAACCACCTGTCCCCTGCTGCTAGTCTGAGAGTATCCATGTTCAGGTCCCATTGTCCCCAGGTCACATCTGTGTGGACATCTGGGATATCCCATGGCATCCCAAAAGGGCTGCACACTTAGATGTGGGAAACTGAATTAAGTTTTAGCTGTCCACAGAGTAGAAGACTCTGACTGAACTGGTCTACCCTTTAGAGACACCAGTGAATTATCTCAGGTTAAAGTGACATGACATTCATTCCTGGTCTTGAATCCAGTATCTCACTGAATAAATGCTTGCCAGAGAGGCAAAGTCTATAAAAGAAATCAGCCATATGGCAAAAAGAAATAGTGATAGCAGGAATGCATTTTGAAAGGATGTAACCAGCATTTCTTTTGTTGACTGTGACATGTGCCAACAAAATAATACATCCCTTACTGGTACAGTTCAGCCACAACTAGTCTTGGTGACAGGTCAGCCATCTGGGCAGGTAATTAGCTAGGCAAGGACTGGTGGTGATGACAGCAGTTATGGGTTTTGCCAGTTATTCCTGCTAGAGAACTCACTGCAGAAACAATTCCAGGCAAACATGGAAGCAGTGGCTACAGACTGAGAGGGGAGGGAAGCAACAACTCTGAAATAAATAAAACCTCAAGCCAAGTCAAAACCACAACACCTGCATTTGGAGGTGGTGTATCTAGCAGGTCTGTCAGTGCACCTGCCCTGCCTCAGAGGGTTAAAGGGCATAAACAAGCCTTCCTGTTGGGATGTACCCATTCTTACTCACTAAGTGAGAATGGACAACATCCTCCTTGCCAGAAGGGTTTGACCAGGACAGCAGCCCCCACTCACATGGGGCCCCATGAGGAAGCAAACACCTTGGCATGGGGTCTGCCAGTCCTGGACAGCTCTGAGATGCCATTGTCCAAGGGCCAGCCCTGGCCCTGGCCTTCTATATTGTGGCTATTCATTTTTTTAGCATCAGGGAACATCACTCTCTCAGATTTTTGCTTTCCCTTGAAAAAGATCTGTGATTACTTTATCTTGTTTTTAAATTCCAGGCACTTTAAGTTCACATTGAAGTCTCAACTTGAGGGGAGCTGAGCCCAAGTCTTCAGCTGAAGCCCATAGATTGGCACGTGCTGGCATATGAGAGGAGGAGTAAAATCCTCACCCTCTTGAAATCAGTGACAAAACTTTGTTTAAAGCAGTAGTAAGATTTTGTCCTGAATATTATTCCCTACATGCATTCTGTTGTTTTAATGAACCCTGCTTTTTCCTGAAGAGGGCTACTTCCCAAGCTCTATTTATTTATTGTGCCTTTTTCAGGCAAAGCCCCATTATACCTGACTTCCAAAGAGAGAGACATGTGCCTACCTATAAAATTTTCTCTTAAGAGGAATCTGCATTTGGTAAATATTTATGCAAGTATTATAACTGAGATTAATTACATCTGAGGTAATTTAAATTTCACAGTGAGGCCAGGAAAGGAACAGCTACATGTAATCTAATCAGTAAGTCAGGTGCTGTGCCTTACCCAGGAAGCCAAGCATCTTTTCCTGCAGAAATTCCTGTTCTGCTGTATTGCCTAGCTGTCTGCACGATATCTATTAAAAATGACTTGGGTTACAGATGGAATCTCTTGTTTCACTAGACACCATCATTGCTACATTTAAGCAGGTGCTTTAGAACTAAAGTTAACATTGCACTGCAATGATTGAGAAATTTAATCATGGGGCTTATTATGTAGCACGTTACAAACAACACAAAGCTGTAATGGGGTTGTAATCCTTTACTGAATAAGTTATTTTTCTTTGTCTGATACAGCCTGCCAGCAATTTTCCAGGAACATCATCTACTGACATTTCTTTATCAGAAGAAACTCAGCCTCCATCTCAGTCCAGCTCCAGCTATGGTCTTCCCCCCAATGCTCCAGCCCTCTATACACCAACTTACTGCTTGCCTGGAGAAAAGCCTCCACCATATGCACCATAGAATGAAGAATTTATTTTAGTAGCTGGTAGGCTTTTATTTTGTTTTAAAGAAACCTCTGGAAATTGTGCTGTGCAGGCACTAGACTTCCCAAAGGAGCCCAGCACAGAGTGTGTTACTGCCACTCTGCTTTTACCCACATCTTCCTGTGAGCAGGGCAGAGCCCTGGAGCTGTAAGGGCAGGCATGTCACTACTCAGTGCACCTGCAGTCAGATGTAGCAGAACTTTCTGGCTATGGTAAGCATGAGATGTTTCCCTCTTAGTCCGCTGCAGAATAGATTTTCTTGAAGAGGAAAAATGAAAAAAACACTCCAGGTATTTGTTCTGCTTTCATGAACCAATATTAAGGGGTTTTAGCCTGTGTTGTCTGAGTGGGTAGCTGGGAGCTCCCAGAGTCAATAATTTTGGGTAGAAAGAGTTTGTTTGCTTGTAGTGTTTAATAACTCTTCTGGTGAAAGTGTTGTACCAATAAAGTGTGGCAATTATTTTACAATAAAGTTCACTGTGTATATTTATACTATACCTAAGGCTGGGTATATTTGGAAGGAAAGGAAAACACAAGAAGAGGAAGAAGTACCTTACCAAATAATTTTCCTTTTCAGGTTTCAGATAGAAAGGGACTGTTGGGACTGTTTTAGCTGAACTTTGTGCCAGTCTAGTCTGAATAGGAAAATGTCATGTTAATGTGCTAAAAATACCATTTCCAGATGTGTATTTTAGGCTACACTTTAGTGTTCAAATTAATTTCTTTCTAGTCAAAAGACCACAACAACCAAACTAATTTTAGGTTAGAAGCCTGTTATTTATTTTTAAGTTAATCCGAGACCTAATGCAGGTATTTCACAATGACTGAAACAGAGTGAATGAAGGGGCCTAATTAATTTTTTAATTTATTCATTTACCCAAAAGGCTAAGCAACAATACTGTTGGCAGTGCCACTGACAGGAAAAAAGCCCTGCCTCCTCATTGTGCACCACAGTGAGATTCCTTTTGGCACACACCTGCCATATTTTGGGACAGGGGTACTTACATCCAGCATGAAAGCCCACCTAAAATGCATCTCTTCACTGCATTTTGCTCCTGAAGGAAGGGTGTTGGTGCTGCTAGCTTCATAGATCTTACAGTCTAGACAGCAATGAAGCTCTAGAAATTTCCTGAAATGCCAAAGAGTAAATCAGGGAATGGAAGGTATTTCTCATTAACATTTTAAGCAGCTGCTCTGTATTATTAAGATATTGAAATAAACTAAATAAAACAAGCCTACATGACAGTTTCCTTTGAAAGGAAGTGACACCATCAGACCTGCTTAAAATGGAAAAAAAGAGTGATCATCCTTTTGCATAATACTTTGCAACTTCCAAAAAATATCTGTTAATTCTTATGTTCTACCTCTATGTATAAAAAGCAGATTCAGTACTGATACACATAAGAAGAAAGATTAATTTATATGGACCATAAAAGCCACCTTTTGTTCAATTAAGGTTTTTCTGAAATGCAAAGTTTTAGGCCAGTGATCAGCGATGAGGTGCCTTATGTGTATTGCTGACAAGGTGAGTTATATGAACATGGCTGAGAAAAACAAGTCAGAGAAGAGACCATTTGGGTTTTTAAAAACATTAATTTAATGCAACCAAAATGCTTAGTTCTTGTGCAAATACATGCTGTGAAAAGCACAGTGACTCTGATTATGAAATAAGTGAAGCTATACATTTGCTTCTTTTTACTTGCTATGAATACTACCAGGGGAACCACCTTGGTTCAATTTGAGGACTCAAAGTCTAGAACAGACTTTATCGCTTTGGGTTGAACACCTAGACTGCCTGAACAAGGATGAAAGCAATGTCTCTCTTGGGTTGAAGCAAGTGACTGAGAAGGAATGAAGGAATGCTTATTGCAGCTACCTCTTCCTCCAAATCTTTCTCCATGGTATTAAAAAAAAATCACCTTTACACTCTGCCTGCCCCCCCACCCCCCCATCCGTCCCTGCCTCTTCTGTCATTCTCCAAACTGACAAATTCTGAGTTTCTCTTTTAAACCACTTTTTGAGTCAGGGTGCATTGTGATCTACGCAAAATATCTTCATATACATGCACACATATGCAAAGTTCAGGAGCAATTTCTGCTCTGAATTAGAATATTAAATGCTCTTGTACACATGACATTTGGTATGGAACTGAAGAGTACCATAATGTACCACAGGATTCACGTTTCCAGGACCCAAAATAACTCTGGCCTCATAAATAGTGTCACTTACATTAACACAAATGTCAGACATCTTTGTGATTAATTTATGCCACATGGTATTTTTTTGGGGACTACCACAGAGATTTTATCAAAATACCAGACATGAAACTATTTTGCTAGATTGTTTCATTTGAAAAGAAAAAAATAAAGCAGGTCTTGTTTCATGTTCTTGGTTTAAAAATAGGTGTCTTCCGAGTCTGTATTTTTTTTCAGTGGAGTTACTCCAAGTTTAAAAGATGGGAGATTTTTGTGGTTGAACCCCAGCCAGAAGCACAGCCCCAGGCAGCCGCTCACTCATTCTCCCTTGCTGGAATTGGGGAGAGAATCAGAGGGGTAAAAAAGAGAAAACTCGTGGCCTGAGATAGAGACAGTTTACTAGGTAAAGCAAAAGCTACACACACCAGCAAAGCAGAACAAGGAATTCATCCACCACTTCCCATGAGCAGGCGAGTGTTCAGACATCTCCAGGGAATCTGGGCAACATCATGTGAAACAGTGACTTGGGAAGACAAAGACCATCACTCTAAGTGTCCTTCCCCTTCCCCTTTTGTCCCCCAGCTTCAAGTGCTGATCATGAGGCCATATGGTGTGGGATATCCCTCTGGTCACTTGGGATCAGCTGTTTGGCTCTGTCCCCTCCCAACTCCTTGTGCACCCCGAGCCACCTCACTGGTGGGGTGAGAAACAGAAAAGGTCTTGACACTGTGCAAGCCCTGCTCAGCAATGGCTAAAACATCCCGGAGTTATCAACATTGTTTCCAGCACAAACCCAAACTACAGCTCCATACGGGATCACAAATTGATTCAGAGTCATCAGTAGTAACATAAAGTACTTTCAGGAACAAGGTGGTTTCCCTTGCTCAACTAAAAAAAAAAAAAGCAAAAACTTAGAACTCCTGGGTTTTCCTATCCATGCACAGTCTACCAGTAAGTTATTACTGTCTAGTGGGAAATTTCCTTTCAAACTTCTGTCTGCTCAGACCTGACAGTAGATCCTTCTCAAAGTATAAATGAGTAGGTTGGTTGAAAGTGATAAAGTTCTGTTCTTTTCTGCCCTTCTCTATTGCTGCTGATTGATTGGCTCATGGTAAGATGCTATGATGCCTTGTCTAATGGCTAACAGAGTACCTTCCTCTTCTCTGCTAAATAAAACAGAGATCTTTGCCAGAAAATAGGCTTGAAATAGTCTTCCCCTTCTTTACTCTTTTCCTCTGGGACAGTTTATCTTCACAGTTTGGTCACAGATGTTGCCACACATGAGGATTATTAGACTAATGCGTCATCTGCTTATCTGCTTAGGGAAAACATAACATGCCTGACCAAGAATCATTTATAAAAAACCTTGCAGAATTAAACCTTTTTCATGCTAATCCAGTAACCTTACCCACTCAGTATTTGGATTTTGCACCACGGCATATACCAATATTACTCAGTTTATTAATTTGATGCAAGGCAAAGACCAAATAAAACAAGATTTAAGTGACTCAAGACAAGCTAGACAAAGAAGGATAGATGAAAAGTTGAACACAATTTATGGCTCTAAAACTTTTCCTTCATAAACCCCACAGATATTCTCACCTCATGCTGTTCAGCCTGGCTAACTCTCACAGCTCAAGCCTCTTTGATGCCACTAGGCTCACAGTGAATGAGCCAACATAAAAATGCAGCAGCAAAAATATGTCATCACTAGATAATATTCTCCAATTCTCAACACCTCATCATTTACTCCAGCAGCTATTGACAAAAAACTGTACGGCTTTGAACTTATTGAATCTTTTTTTTTAAATGTTTCCTGCTGACCCAAATTCATTTTCCATTTTCTGTTGACCAAGAGTTTTTCTAAAGGTCACAATTGGGTCTTTTTTTTTGTGGTACTCAGAAAGAGAAGCTCTAGCAGTTAGAATAGCAGCCACCATTTGCTCTTCAGCTAAGAAGATATGAAATACTGATGAAAGCATATAAACCCCCAACGCACAACCTCCAAAAAAAAAAAAAAAAAAAAAAAAAGCAGCCCTTCCTTCCACTCTCCCCCACCCTCTCCCAGTGTAACCTCCACATCAGGCACAGTCTGAGTCACTGTCTCCAAATACCAGAATACAGAATAACCTTAGTACAGGTAAATTAAAAACTTGTATGTAAATATTTTATTCTCTCATATTTTGCAAATCAGAAAGCAGTGTTTGGTAATAAAAAATAATACAGAATTATTATTTTTCTTCCAGTCCATACTCATATGTTACCAGGTTTCCCACATTATAGATGAAACTGTCTCTTACAGTCTAAAGATAGTATTCACTTTCAGTACAATCTGTACTTTAGATGTATTTAATATTAGTCTTCTTAACTATTTACAAATATATTACAACCTTTATACCTCAAAGCAAAGAGTATTTCAATAATCAATCTGACAAAAGGATCAGTAGCTTCTACATAACTTCAGTGTTTAAGAGAAACTATACACGCAGTGTGGTAGATCTGAATAATTTATATCTTTTAAAAAAAGAAAAGCACTGAAAGTTTCTGAGTATAAAACTTTCGCATTGCAGTGGTACCTACTGACCCTCCTGGACTGGAGGACAGGAATGTGAGGTGATGTCACTGTGCTTGTACAGAGCCTCATCTAAGTCCAGTGCCATGTTGCTCAGTTTGAGGGTCATGCAGCCGTGGTAGGATGCGGTGACCGGAGTGGAAGTGACAGGAACATCTGTTGGAAAGAGGAGATAAATATCTGACAGCTGCCTTTAAATGAATGCCTGCCCTGCCGAGGCTCAGATGGCTATTGCTTCAATGAATTCAAGCTCACCTTCTTCCATGCGGGCGTTTCTACCTCCCCCTGCCCCCTTGCCAGAAGGCAAGAGCACAATCCCAGACATGAGGAAAGCACCATCTGCTCTGGTGTCAGTCCAATACTTTTCCCAGGCTGAGCCCTTCCTCAGCTGGTCTGTGTCTCTGCAAGGCCTCCAGATCGGATGAAACCATGGAACCTTGTGCTGCTCAGCAGCAAGGCTTCACTGCAGTGGCACAATGTGTTCACACAGCCTCATGTTTCCCCCTCTCCATCTCCAAACCCTCTGCTTTGTTATTGGTGGAGATGTTAGACCTTCCTCTAATGCTCTTTCTCTTCCAAATTACTTCCAAAAGATTATAGGAAGAACTTTATGACAGAAAAGGACTTCCCATATGCTGCCTCTACCACTTGCTGGACTCATCTTTACCACAATTTTGCTGTGTGTGAGCAGAGGAAGGTTTCTGGCCTTCATCAGCAAGGTGCTGGAATGCATCAGTTGAATTGTTCAGACTAATTAAACTAATTTCTACTGTGGAGACCCTCTGGTGATGTTCTTTTAATCAGTTTACCAGACGCAGAAAACAGATGGCAAGGAAGAAAACACTAAGTACAATCCAATAGACTAGAGGAAGTTAGTCAATCTTACTACTAACTTCTGTAATACACACTGACCATAAACAAACAAAAACCCAACAAAGTAACACAATGACATGAAAATCTACATGAGCTCTGTCCTCTCCCTTTCCCCAAAGGTCTTTGGCTTATTTACAACCCAAAGCTCAATCAAACTGGTTGTGCAATGGAAAATAATGAATGTCTCAAAGAATATTTAACTTCATAGTGATTCAGGTAGCTAAATAAATCACTTATCTTTACATCGAAGCAAGGACAACTTGAACAATAGGTTGTCCTGTTGACCCAAGATTATATTAAATTTAAAGTGTTCTGCCTGGAGATATGCAGGGCTGATGTGATCAGACATGGCTCAGACAGAATCTAGGATTGAGTGGGAGAGAGAACATTTGTAGGAGATCTGTAATTCACAAAGAAATACTATAAATCTCTTCAGCTTCCTGGGGGAGAGCTACCATTGCCTGGTAGTTGCTTTGTTTAGTGATGTTATCTATTTCCCATTCCTCCCCATTTACTAAAGTTTATCTGCAAAGTCTGCTAAAGGAATGCAGCATCTCTGTTGTAATACCTTACATGAATGTAAACTAAATTTTGAGGGAGGGAATGTAAACTAAATTCAGAGGGAGTTGAAGTTGTGACTTAACAACTTGAAGACTCGTCTAAGGAGTCAAGCAGATTGCTGTCACATGTGCCACAGGGCTGACTGAAAGACAGTGTGGGCTTTCAGATGGATTTGTAAGAGATTAAAAAGAAATTAATTTTTTTTTCATAGTGTTGTAGTTGTAAATCATGTGAAATATTTAATTTTCTGTTATGACTAGAAATGGATCTGTCCAAAATGTGGTCATGTAAAGATTTGGAAGTCTAGTTTAAAGGTTCCTTCACCTGGTGGAATGCATATTTTCTGAAAAATCACCCATGCATCACATAAATTACATAATTTAAGATTTACCAGAACCAAAAAGCCTATAGAAAATGTAATTAATGCCTATATGTTCCCTCTTATCTGTTGAAACTTTAAGTAGTATTTCTTCCGCATCTGCAATATTAGCTGTGCTTAGGATCAGACTTAATACATATTTGGATCCAGAAATCTTTCTTTATTTGTGGCAAATGGAATAAAGATGTGAAGTTTGACCACTATACTGTTTTTTCCACAGGGTATGGAAGCATGGAAAAACTAAAATCTACGTAATGTTTTCAAAATCTGAATGAGCCAAACTCACTTAGATCTGACCATTTGGTATTGTTACTTAACCCAGAGTGATTAATTCAACTGAAGTGCTGAAATGTTTATTTATTTGGCAAATCACAGGGTTTCTCATACAAGCACTGGGTTCATCTCAATAGCAAAAGCAGAGTGCTGGCAGAAATTCCCGTTGCTAAGCACAACAGATCAAAGGGGGATAGTAGCTAAACCCACAGCAGCCAGCTGAGTCTGAGCTGCCACAGCCTTAGCCAGCGCAGGTAGTCTAAGCAAACCACAGAGAACCTGGGACAGTGACAGAATGGGATGATTTTCTGAGCTGTGCACCTGAGAGCAGTTTAAAAGAAAGCAGGCAACTCTCTTGCCTGTCCAATGGCCAGCTTAGAGAATTCAATCTGAGAGTAGAAAATGTCACATTTGGGATTTCAGCCTCATTCCTGCCACTGTGTGAATGGTTCAGAGTATGTGGCCTCCCCCTTTCAGGTGTGACTGGGAGCCATTTGCATCATCAGCATAAATTCTCTGTAAACTCTTGCTCATGGTGGGGACAGCCACACTACGTGTCCTATGTGCACCATGTGGCACCTCAGCCACCCTGTTCCAGCCTGACTGCTTCAGCACCTAACAAGAGGCCAACATTTGTACCTCTCCCATGCTTGGGCAAGTAAGGGCAAGATTTTGCTTAGCTGCTGGCATCAGAGACATAAGTGTTCCTTTAATAGCATTCCTCAGCAGAAGGGACTGATAAACTTGTTCAGGCAGAGCAAGAAGCAAACTCTCAAACTTGGCCAAAATTCACGATTCAGATGAAAGTTTGATCTTACAGGTTCAGAAGAGAGGAGCAAACTGACCTCCCTCCCCTTAGAAACCCAGTTGCTGCTGAAAAGCCAGAGACACTATACATGATGTTAATCCCTTGGTTGTGCCCTACATGAGCTCTGCTGGGATGCAGTCAGTGAACTGTGATCAGTTCAAAGAGAGCATCAGCCAGGGAGGATCACCACACTGGGCTTCTCCAGTTTCAGGCAAAACACCTTAAGGCCCTAGTACTTCCCTCAAGGAGTGCTCCCACAGGTTCATTACATTAATGAAGCACTGCAGGAACTTGCAGTCCAGCTCCCATGGATTTTACTTGGTTTAAAATAATAGCCCAGCATACAGCAATCCTTCAGATTAAATAATTCCTACTGTTGAACAAGTAAAACATTCTCTTTCTATTTTTGCCTTCAGCTGCCCTCAGAAGGACACAATCATTCAAGGAAAGTGCAACCCCAGATCCATTTTGTTCTGAATTGCAGACAAAGCCTGCTCAAGCAGAAACAGAGAAGGATCCTCACAGCTTGAACATAAACAGTTTTCCTGACTCCCAGCTCAGCAAAGCAAGTTGGAAGTCTGTGGTCCATGGTACAAAACTGGAGGCTCACCTGGCAATCCTCCCACGTATGTCTTCGTTGACTGCAAAGAGCTCTCCAAGATGGACAGACTGTCCTCCAACTCAGAGATGCTTAGTTCACTCTCTCCTGCTTTCCCATCTACCCTCAGGGATAAGTGATCTTTCCTGAGGAGGACATCTACAGAGTGTTCCTTTTTATCACAGAGATTTATTGCCAGTCTGGACACAACTGTGTTCTCCAAGGCCATGATGATAAACTGAACAGCAGGAGAAAGAAAAAAAGAAACAGACAATGAGCAGAAAAATACCTAGCTATACTTAGCCAGAACCAGGATGAGCCCAATATGCCCCTTATTACAAATATTTTGCAGAGCCTCCAGAGAATTAGGCTTATTACTATTGCTGATTGTGTTCCGAGCTCATTTGCATAGATGAAAAACCAATGAACCAGTGGGACTAATTCCTGAAACTGTGTTTTCTCAGGGAGAGTTCTTAGTGAGTCTTGCAGAAGACATTATATTGCACTGGGGACAAACTGGCTGGAGCTGCTGTACTATAAATGAAAATTAGCTCATGGCATTTAGTGAAATGGTTTACCCTTGTGGAATGCCAGAATTTAGCCCTTTGTTATGAATGCCATTAAATAGTAGCTTCGACACTCCACCATAACTGGCTTTTCCCAGTACTTTTCCCACACCTAAAGCCTGTCTCTTGGCTCCTTTGTGACATCTACTGATATGCAAAAATGGAAATCCCTCGTTTATGGCACTAAACAGCTTCTGTGCCAGAAAATAAAATATGCCTGCATTCAAGAGAGCAGCTTTATCTTTTATCTAGACCACATTGGCAAAGAGCTCCCTATTATCATCTGACACACACCTGTAAGAGGCAGAACTTCAGGCAAGCACTGTTGTTTCAGACCATGTCCTGAACAGGTGGGATAAATAATGAGGCAGGCAGCAAACCTAACAGCTGTTTCTGAAATTGACTTCCAGTTACCAGGAAACAGGAAGGAAACTTCTGTATAAAAATACTTGTTTGTACCTGTTGCTTCACTTTCTTTGTGGAGTGATAGTCAATCAGAGATAGTGATAACGGGACAGATGCTTCTTCTGTAACTAGGGCAAACAGCACACCAGTATCTGTTGCTGGTTGAATTACAGCATTTACTTCAATTTCCCAATTTGTCTTGGTTTCATTTCCAGAAGAAGGTTGCACTGCAGAAAAAGAAATTCATTGGACAATGTGTCAAATGGGTAAGCTGTTCAAATTCTCCCTAGAGAAGAGCATATGCAGATGAGCATCTGGAGGGACTGCCAAATTTTTTAAATTTAAAAAAAAAATCATTTCAAAGCACCTGAACATAAAATTGGACAAGAAAATGGCATCAGTTTCCTCTTGTTACCTTACGCATTCTGCTGCTTTTCAGAATGTCAAAAGATAACATAAAGTTTTTTATCACAAAGAGTTAATCAAAATCCTATGGCTGCCAGTCTGACACATTCAAAGAACTGCTGCAAGATTGGTCAATCAAAACCCAATTTTTTTTACAAGTCTGTCCAAAGATCATTGAGAAATTTGAGTTGAAATTTGGCACGCAGAAAACATTTCTATGAATGCCTGTATTAAACTCAAAAATTGTGTAAGTGTACTACACTCATCACCTACTCAAACTCTTCCTGATCACTGATCTCTCAAAAGTGTGGCATGTTTTATTTCACCCACTGAACCCTGAATTAAACTTTCTGGTATCTTCTTACTGCCTCAGTGCCCTAATAATTTAAAATGTAATGCAAGCTGCAAAGAAACATCTCAACATCTCAACCTGCTCCTGCAACCTCCCTTCACAGGACTATTAGCTTTGGTAGCTCACCACATCTTGAAATACAATAATCTGTTCTTTATAAAGCTTACCTATCATCTGCACTTCACCTGCACTTTAGATGCTGCCTTGTCTTTACTTTGCAACTTTTGAATCCATGTGCTAAGTGATATGACAGACACCTGGTACTCCCTAATTTACCATGGCACAGCAGAAAAGTCCACATAACACTGAACAGATGGCTCCTGCAGAGCAGGACTTACACAGTAGATTGAAATAGATGGTCAGCATTTGTGTGAGTTCAGAAATACTGATAGTTGATTACACAGATGAGCAAACACAATAATGTAGAACAATAAAAGGTGCCTTTCTGAGTGCTACATTAGTATGGACAAGTTTGACTTGAAACCTGTTATTACTGTATGCCAATTTCATTGGCTTCTATCAGAGACATGCTTAGTGCATAGTCCCAAGTGTAAGTAACAACACCCCTTGATTAAAAGTGAATCCAAGACAATAGACAATAATAATTTTTCTGTCTATCATAACCCTAAGATACAGCAGTATGGCTTGCAGGTCTCCCTGTTGAGCAGAAAATAATGGTATGGAATGGAAATACCTAAGTTGCTGACAGAGAGATGTAAAGCTTTGAAGGCTGGGGATGAGCTGGAGCCAGTCTGGGTGTGAAATGTATTACTGGAGCTACACAGAAAGAACCTAATCCCTGCTGGGCATATTTGCATTGGCTTGAACTATGATTTATAGGCCTTCCTTCAGTAAAAACCACAAGTGTAATCTTTTCTGCATCAATCAACAGTGAGTCTGGCATACACCTAAGTTTTATACCATTTATTAACCAGGTATAGTTAATGGCAGGACAACAGGTCAGAAATAAAAAAATCCCAGCCTACTTACTGTAAGTAAGATTAAACACAGCAAAACCTCGGCCAGGATAGAAAGACCCTCGTCCTGCTACAGCAAAGCACTGCATCTTTTCATTCATCTTTATGGTCTCTTGGATAGAGGTGTCCTCCCCATTCAGCCAGTTCCATGCCCGCATGCAACCATCCAGCCGAGGGTTTATCTGGGAAGACAAAGCAGTATCTTATGCCTCAAACGATTGTTCAGTGAAGAGGAATTGTGTGCAAAGGAATACTGAGTTATATTATGAAACTAAACAGTAAAAATAATTTTGACATGTTATGTACATTCAAACCAATAGGCAGCAACACCAATCCTGCAACCCCAAGCAACTGAGTGGTCAGTATTTCCCCAGGAAACTCCCCTGAGGTCAGCTTGTCTCTATAGGCCAAAAGGGCACTAGCTAGTGCAGGTGCTGATTTGGTTTTATTGATTCTGTAAGCTCCTCTATGTGTTGCACATCATTAATACAACTTATTTCTAAAGCTCTGTAGCCAAAGCTCCATAATTCAGCATTGCAAATGCTGGAGGCTAACTTAAGGTTGAAAATACCAATCCTTTTTGTCCTTGCAAACAGTCTGCATGACACACAAGATTGGAGCTGATCACAGTATAAGTTTTTGGGTTCTGGCTCAAGGAGGGGTGCCTGCACCACAAGCTTGGCACACCACTCTGTACATACCTTATTCCCTCCAGCTTCTAGTTAGGCTATCCTGTACCTAATGTCAGCATTAAAATGTGAGTCAGTCTGTAAAGAGAAGGCTCCTTGCAAAGCCTCTAAATCAGCACCACTACCCCCAGTTAAGTAAAGGAGAGAGAATTAAGTGTCTGAGCCAGGATAAAAACCTGAGGAGTTTCTGGCTCTCAATCCTAGGTTCTGAGTACACCTTGGGACTGTTTCTGACAAGCTGTGGCCTTGAATGACTTCTTGTGAGGCACAGGAGCTGTAAGGCTCAGCTGCTGCATTCCCAGTCACAGAACCACAAGCTTGTCACCTCATTCAGGAATAAAGAGATGCAAATTTGGATTTCTAGGTGCCAACTCTGCTTGTGGTGGCCATTCAAACCAGCCTGAGCAGCAGCTATTTGAGAAACACAACAATCACCCAATGTTACCCAAGGACTGCCTTAACTTTTATTCATATGCTGTATCTACTTCAATTAGGAGCAAATAAAGAAAAATAAGCTCCTGTTTTTCCTTGGGTCTCACTATACTGACACAGCAAACACATACAGCAAATTGTGATTTGTAACACGTGAAGAACAAACTTTGGTCACAACACAAGGAGTGCCCCTGATGTTGGTTCCAGACGTAGTAGGCACAGTGGCACCCTCAAACAGCAGCATGCCCCTTGACCCCTACCCTGGGCCACTCCTGCTCTCCAAGCCAGCATCACCACTGTGAATTTTGTAATTTGCTTCAGTTTTTCTGTGCAGTATTTTGTGGGATACATCTCAACCAAATTTACTAACAAAAAATCTGGAGACTCAACTTTGCTACTGGCTTAGGCTCCTGCTTTAGTCAATGGACAGAAAGTTGTATCTAGAAGGTGATAATTGCACCTGTTTCAGGGCAGGTTGAACAGCTCTCAGGAAGGACCTACATTGCCCCAAGAGAATATGAAATCAAGCCCTTTAGGCATGCAAAGGAACACAAATTACCATGCTATACTTACCGGTACAATAAGGTCCTTGGTTTTGAAAGGAATGCCTCCTACTGTCAAATTCAGCTGATACACTCCCTTGTCTAGTGTAAACAGGTTTCCTGAGACAGCTATTTTCATAACTGCATCCCTGTTGACCTTTACAATCAAATTTCTTTCAAGTTCCTCAACAGAGATCTGAAAAAGTAAAATTCCAAATTGCGTTACTAAGTAGGAATAGAACTTAGTGTTTGCAGTCTCAGCTACAGGACAGACCCCAGTGAAATCCCCAAGATAAAGAAATATTTTCAGTCCCCAAACCTCTTTGTTCACCTTTTAAGTTACCTTCCACCTTGTTATGTAAATCTACTCTAGAAAAAGGTCTGTGATTAACCTTTATGGTGGACACAGTACATCTACTTCAAAACAGCTACAGAAAAATGTGAGTGGATTAAATTCATGACTTATGTAGGTTGCTTTATGCAAAGTGTAAATGCAATAATTAGTTATTAATAAGAAACTTCCTATTGCAGTTGCATGTGAAAGGAAAAGCTGGAAGGACAAACAAGATGTCTTTTGCTGGATCAATGTAAGATAACACAGAAGCCTCTCATACCCAGTACTTTAATATCAACCTCTTCAAAAAGCACAACACAGGATGGAATTTTTGAAAGGGCAATAAAAATGTGTAATAAGCAATAACTTTTCTCTCAAAAAAGCATCTGCAAGTTTTAACTCCATGTCTCTGTAAAGCTACTTATAGAAAGATTCTATTACCACTGAAATTTCAAAAAAATTTCATCATTTTGATTACTTTGCACAGAGAAACACTATAAAGCTTCTATGGAAGGAAAGAAGGTGAAGCCCAAAGCTGATGCACCAGACTGACCAGCAGCCAAGATGCTGCCAGCTTGGGACATGGATCCTGCTATCATGGGGTAGTTCTGTAGCTGTAGCAGAAGACAGTCCCAATCCTTCTGTAAAGAAGAAAGGAACACACCTCCACTATTTCATAATCTTCTACCCACTCTATGACAGATACTCCACCTACTCACTCTTCATCTGTACAGCTCTGTTCCCTGGGACACTCAGATGTTGCTTCTATCAGTGAGCTGCTGTACAGAGCCAATTATCTATTTCAGAGGATGTTTAGGCATGTTCTTCCCTCTCCCTGCTAGCAGGTTAGGTCCTGAGCATCTTTCTCTCTGTGTTTTGACTAGCAGTCCCAAAATTGCTCTTATCAGCCTTTCTGAGTTCTTGCTCTGTGGCTGTAACATAAAGGAGGATAGGGTTGAGCAGGTTGTACCTGGGCACTCCCTTTAGATTGCAGTCCTCAGTAATGAAGACTAAGTGAATTTGATAGTAGGCTTTCCTCCTCTCATGAACCTTTTTCTTGTCTTGTGAATGCCAGTACAATTTGGTTTATATTGCTACAACACTGTTTCCACCTGGTGCCACATCCTACTGGACATGAATTTATTTATCTGCAGCTTTTTTGTTTAAAGTAGCACCTACATCTCCAGACTGCATTTCACGGAGACACACAAGCCAGTCTCAAAGAGGCTTTTTTTGAGTATTGGATGGCTGTGAAACCCATTCAGTGTGGGGGAATATAAGCCCATAGGTCATGACAGTCAGCCCAGCTGGCTGAGCTACACAGGCTGTCCTCACACAGACACCTCTGCCCAGGGTCGTGGTCACCACTGCCCTGATGCTCCAGGCTGTGGAGTGCCACAAGGGGCTGGCACAGACCATCTCCCTGCTCCTGGCACGGACACTGGGCAGACACAGAGCAAATGGGAATTGGGAAAAGCTGGCTGCAGCAGGGCCCATACTGTGAAGAAATACTGCTACTTACAGGGCCACCAGAATTCAGGGCCCTCTAAAATTTTATTAGATTGTATAGGAAGTAATAATATAAAAATAATTTTTAAAAATTCTGAGTTCTTAGCTGCATCTGATCTTTAATACAAGCAAACACAAATCAATGAAAACTTCTCTAAGAGAAGAGGTTAATCCCTGTGGGAATTCTTAACAGATTCCAGTTTCGGAAATCACATTCTCCCTACTTTACAATGCCCTCTGGCTGTTTAAGCTCTTGCTTCTTGTAGTCAAAGCTTAATACCATCACAAATAAACTAAAAGGGGAAGCATTTCAGTAGGTTAGCATCCTGCTCATTTCCCTACTCTTGTGGCAAAGAGAAGCTACTTGCTGCCTGCCACAATGGCTTAGGGACATTCAGGAGGACAGTTCCCATAGCTAAGAGTTCCCATATGCTTAGGCAGTCAGCTTTGTGTTTTGGATTCATGCCTTGGATAGTTCACAGCACATAGCCAGCCTGTCCACTGTTTGCTGAAAAGCAAGTGAACAGCACTGGCAAGGGACAGACCTACAGTCAGCTGCAGGGTTAAAACCAAATACCAATCTTGTGATTGCTTAACTTTCAGCCCTGACATTTAACAGTGCAGGTAAGTCATTATTTCTGCTAACCAGACTGTGTCCTCAGAGCAGGACTAGACTGAACACTGAAAATAAGACAAAATGATGACTGGTTTTGGAAATGCAAAACAAACAGAAGGCAAGTGCATTCTCCACTATCATAATTTCATACGTGCCACTTCATCCAGCTGGATTACACACAAATAACCACATTAGAAGTCTTTCCTGAGGCTTGTTTGCGGTTTTGCTTGTTTGCTGGTTCAATGCTGATTTCAAAATATTTTAGGAAGCATTAACACCAGAGAAAATACCTAGGTAGAAACACTGACCTGAAGTTTTGAAAATACCATCTTATTTCAGTGAAAGGATGCAACTTTGCTGAAGAGATTAGAACATTCCTGGTGCTTTTTCATTTCCCTTGCTTTTAAATACTCATTTTTTTCCATCTTCTGAAACTTAAATTGTAAAATTGCTATTTTCTCACAACCCATATGAAGTCGTTCCAATACCCAAAGTTCTCTGGTTAAGATCTAACTAAAACTAAGGGCTTGATTCTGTGCATCCTGAAATCCAGACTAAAGCTCACAACTGCACTTGAGCCTGGACTGTGACATCTGAAGATTATTGGGGTTGTGTTTCATAGAAAGTGAGGCTGCAAAGTACACACAAGTTCATGCTCAAAATTAAATGTGTGGCTACATGTTTTATAATAGGAGACAGTACAAAGAAATCCTTAAACAGGATTTCTCAAATTAAAAACCATGCCAGAGAGAGAACAATGGAAAAGTGCAGGAGGGGATAAAATGTAGGTACATATTTATAGTTGTATCACTCAGCCATATAGATTAAATAGCATTTAGAGGTGTGTGACACTAGATGTCAAGGAGAAGAGAGCCAAGGGTGAAAGCAAGAGATAAGAAAATACAGCTGAGAAAGGACAAATCAACAGCCCCCCAGCAAACCAGGTAAGGTCCCAGGTCTCAGAGATGTAAAATAGGAAGTCAAGAAGCTAAAGGCTCTGCTTTGGGGCAGTATCAGCACTGCACTGTTTCACTTTGGGAGACAGTCACCAGAATTATGGCCATTGACTTGCTCCAGGTCCAGCAGTGTGGCAGCACTGCATGATGCTCTCTCCTTCACTCGTGCCATGCTATCTATGACAGGCCAAGAGGGAGTGAGACCTCAGCAGGGTCTGGACTCACCGTTTGCCACATGCCGTGGTTGATAAGTGGCCCGGTGCTGGTGACGCGGCCGATTCCGCTGTATTTCAGCTGCAGCTCCAGCCGTCCTTTGCGCAAAGCCAACACTATCCATGTGCTGTCTTGATGGCCTCCAGCAAAGAAAAGGATACCTTCAGGATCAAAGGTTCTAAAGTCGAACTCAGCCACAAGTCTGACCACACAGGTGCCAAGAAATAAATTAGTTATGCAGAGTTCAAAAACCACAGAGTATTTTCCATGCAGATAGCATCAATTCTAGCAGCTCTAAAGCCCTGTAAAATATACTAGCTTTTAACGCTCTCCTGAAAGCCTTAAGATGTAAGTACAGCTTTTAAAACATCATCAAGAATAAAGAATACAATACCATATTTCAGTAATTATCCTAACAGCTCTGTGGTCAAGGCTGCCTTTCTTAATTATCGGTTTAGGTAATGTTTGGCCTAACAAGACTTCATAATCTAAGCAAATAATGATGACTGTAGGGTCAATTATTATTGTAACAACCCCTTTGCATGCATCAAAGCCAGTTAGAGCCTTTCATTGCCGTTCTAAATTGTTCTCACCTTGTCAGTTGTTTCCTTTTGAAGCGCAGCCTGATAACAGGAGTGCCACTGAACATCCTCCCCAGGTGCAAGGATTTAATACTCCTTCCAACAGCAAAAGGCACACATGGTATGATGTTCTATAATCAAAACACATTTCTGAGTGTTTATTGTCCTCACACAACAGAAAGAGAATCAGGGAGTGCTGTAAAGTAAAGGTCTGTTTGCAGTTACAGCAATGAACACTGACATACCTCACATGTATTCATGTCCTGGGACAGTTTCACTCCCCCTCTGCCATCACAATGACAAGTGTAACTCCCTGGTGAATTGACACAGGTCTGTTCACAGAGCTTTTCTTCGCATTCATCTATATCTACAGCAAAGAAGAGATAAAAACACTGAGTTTTTTTAAACTTGACAGAGCTGAGGGAATGGCCTGAAGTTGTGTCAGGGGTGGTTTAGGTTGGATGTTAGCAAAAGGTTTTACACCCAGAGGGGGGGGTTGGACACTGGAACAGGCTCCCCAGGGAAGTGGTCATAGCACCATGCCTGACAGAGCTCAAGAAGTATTTGGACAATAGTCTTGGGCACATGGACTGTTGGGGATGGTGCTGTGCAGGGCTAGGAGTTAGACTCTATCCTTGGATCCTTGTAGGTCCCTTCCAACTCAGCTTATTCTGTGAAATCTATTTTCACAGACAAATTCCAGCTGCCCAAAGATACATAGCAAGTCAGTGGGAAGGCTGGAAGCAGAACTCAACTACTTGTCTGCTGGAGCAGAGCCCTGGGCTGTAACTTCTAGACAAGACTTCCTCCCTTCAGGCCCCTTCTGCTATGACTGTAGTGACTGAATTCTGCTCTTTGCAGTCAGGGACTGCATATAAAACCTGAGTTTCTCACTCACTGTTTTCTTTCTTCTTCTGCTATTTTTTATCTTCTTCACAAACAAATGCAGGAAAGAAAACTGTGACAGCCCACAGGGATCTCTTCAGACAGAGTTTAACACTTAATGACCAACAGGACTGGTTGGAGTGTGATTTGAGTCATTACGTTAACTTAGACAAAAGACAGGGAACAAAGCTGGTTTTGGAGTACTTCCAAAACTTACTCAGTTGAGAAAGCTTGCAGCAGTGTAGATAGCAGAGCTGTGCATGGTTCCAGTACATATTAATTTACTAGTTCAGGGTAATGCCACAAGATAGGTTTTGAAAAAAGAGCTACTGCTTTGTAACATTTTTTGTCCTATGAAGAGCGACAGCAACATGCACAGATGCTTCTGAGCTTTCATCAGATCTTGCACTTGTTGAAATTTCGAGAAATTTCAGTACTTTGGCTCATACAGCTTGATTCAAGTCATCAAAGATGACTGCAAACTCACTGAACTCAAAGATAACAGCAAGCTCGATGAACTCAAAGGTGACCACAAACTGCAAACTTACTCCTAACTAGGGAAAGGGAACAGAACTCCAGTGTGCAGGCAAGATTTAAAAAGAAATAAAAAAGCTTTTACTAAAGCCTGAAATTAGATTTCTGGGGTTCTACAGATCTAAATTATATAATAAATGCTAACACATTTCTTGAGCTTACCCTGACAAGTTTTTCTCACGTTATCGTACTTGTAGCCTGCATCGCAAAGACATTCATATGAGCTAATTAAATTTTTACAGTGAGCTTCTCCACAGATGTCTGCTGATGCTGTGCATTCATCTATATCTGCAAAACAAGCAATTAAACAACACAACCTCAGAGGAGTATAATCACTTCACTGTTCACATAGAGTAAGCTTAGGGCAAGTAGATCCCTGCATAACTTTAGAAACTGAAAAAAACAGTATCTTTAAGAACCCACTTTTAGGCTTAGCTAGATATAAGAAGTGACTTCAGGCTTCAAAAATCAGTTGGTCTTTTTTACCCTAAGCCATTAACGACTGTTGGAAAAAGCAATGCAAAATGAACCAGGAGAAAAACTGTAAAACAAAACAACTACCACAAAACCAAAAAGCCCCACTCTCTCCAATCAGGGGCTTGAAACTGAAGGTTTAAAAAAGCAACAGGCAGAAAATTAGGAGCAGCAGCATGAATTTTACCAAAACACTGAAGGAACACTCACACACTTCAGAGATTTCTGCTCTGTGTTCTCATACAGGCAAACAATACATTTTCATATATTTACAAAGCTAAGATCTAAATCTCCTGGTCTGTAGTGGCAAGGGAGAATTGAAGCAGCCCAATTTGTCACAGAGAACAAGCCATGCCAGAGAGATGTGGGGTTTTGCCAGAAGGGCAGGCAATGAACTGGAACTGGAAGTCCATAAAAAAACTTGATCATTTGCCTCACATGTTAATTAATATCCTGCAGAATCCCAGTGTTGACAAAACATTTGCAGTATACCGAGAGTTTAATATTTACTTTTGCTCTCTAGTATGTGTTAAAACTACAATTATTCATTACTCTTGTTGATTTTCCCATGTATGAGTGAACTGGCTGAGTATCCTATGTAGCTTAGCCTACAAATCAAGATGAGGGAACTTTTGTGTGTATGCCCACAATGACAGGAACAAATATTTAGAAAATCAAAATGCAATGATAAATCTGAGCTATCAATTACCACACCTGACAGTAATCTCAGCAGCTGGAAGGTCACATGTTGAAGCTACAGAATGTTTATATAGTAGTGCTCACTGTGCTCTAGGAGACAGTACTAGGTTTTGGAACAAATGTACGTACACAGCAAACAAACACGTATGTGAGCCTCTCACCATCCACCTGTCCATGCTGACTGGCACCAGAGAACAATTCAAAAGTGAAGTTGGCTCTTTTAAGTTGCTCCTCCCATTAGGAACAGATACCATGTAATCTATACAGCCATCACTTTTTAGAGTGGAAGTGACATAGAAACAAAATCTTGCTCTTTTTCTTTTTGCTGGTAGCATTAAGAAGTTGATCACATCATGTATGCAAATTGTTTAGAAATATGTAATCACACCCATCTCTAAGAGATATATACCTGCTTTTTCATAAGATGAATGTAATTTTAACAGCCACCTGTTGTTGAGTTATTGAGTCTGTCTCAGCATGCAGTCTCTTAACACTTTTAAAATCTCAGTTGCTTAAGTTTTGGTTATGTAAATTCATTCGGCAGTTTAAATCAGAAACTTCAGGTCCTCATTTTCTGTTCTCAGCTGGTATGTAAAATAGCTGCCAAACTTCACTAGGGCCTTTCTACACCTATTAATATTGAGATGCAGTGAATTTAGCTTTCTGTATCTATCCAAATTCATTAGCTGCTGCACACATCCAAATCTAAAAAAATAAAATAAGAAACACACAAAAGAAAAACAAATGGCTCACATACTACAACACTGTGAGTCTGGAAAGAATCATGACAACAAATCTGGCCAACACTTCCTCCTCTCAATGTCAGGATATGAGGATTGATCAACTAAACCAATTTAGCACAATCCAAGCCACAAATCCTCTGTGAATCACGCCTGTGTTATGCTCTTGAGAGTATCATTGTCCAACTGCTGACAAGCCCAGTCATGTAGGAGCACCCAGCACAACCCCAGTGGAGAAGAGCTAAGAGGAGCTACCAGCAAGTTTCTGCTGGGCTAGGGAGCAGACCAGGATTATTCAGGGCAGCCCAGCTCTCCAAAATACAGACACAAGTCAGGAAGCAACCCCCTGAAGCAAACTGAGAGTCCCAGCAAAGCTTACCTTCACATATTTTGCTGTCTTTAAGAGCATAGCCACTGTAGCATGAGCACCGGTAGCTGCCTAGCTTGTTGAGGCAGAGCTGGTTACAGCCGCCGTTCTGCATTCTGCATTCATCAACATCTACATCAAAAGAAAGTGTCACAGCTTTTCACATCTGTAAATAATCTACAGGGTCACAGTGCAATAGGTGTTGGGAAGGAGAAAGATCAAACAAGAAACAGTATTACAGATGCAACACAGTGATAACAAAAAGCACAAAGATTTCATTCAAACACTTCATGTGTATAAGCTCAAGTTTGTTTAACTTACAAAAAAAAAAAAGAAAGTGAGAGAGAGAGAGAGAGAGAGAGAGAGAGAGAGAGGGATCTGTAACTGAATAGTATCTCCTTCACACCTCTGAGAACACATAAAAGTATCTTTAGTCACTGTGGAAGCAAAGAAGCTTGTTTGCAGAAACAAACTATGTATTTTATATCATAACTAAGTACTAAAATAATGCTATAGCCAAGAAGTTCAAGAAAAATCTTTAAATGAAACAGGAGCACTGTATTGTTACTATTACAGAACTCGTGAGAACATAGGAAGTTCCAAGTTCTCACCTGCCGAACATTTATGAGCTTAACTGTGGCCCACTGAAATTGGCAGCAAAAACCTGTAAAATCCAGCAGAGCCTGAGTTTCATCCTCAATCTACCCTACGGGACTCCAGAGTTAGCTGATGAGTAGAACGGCATGTTGTGGCATTTTATAAGAAAATAAGGAAATATACTTCACACTGATCAGTGTCTGAGCTCTCAAAGCCAACTGGATACTGACTGGTCTGCTTTCTGAATTGATGAAATAAGATGCTTTAGTGATCCTATAAACTCATCACAATATTTACATGAAAAGGAAAGGATTGGATTTCCTGCTGTCTTGGTTGCCACAATTCTGGACTGGCTGAATACAATTTCTAGCCATTACTCAGTATTGGCAAGCAAAAAAGCAGTGGCCCTGACAGGAAGCTTTGCAGGCAGAAGAAAAAAACCAAAGAAACCAGAAAACAAGAGGAGAGAAGATAACTTGTAGAGAAAACTCCATAGGCAGCTGGAACTTTTTGCACCAATATTTACTGTCTAAAATTCTATTTTGAGGTGATGGAAATACCCCAATGAAATATGTGGAATTAAGTGGATGGAATAAGGTCAGACCAGCAAGGAGGCTTCAAGAGACTAATTTTATCATTTTGTGTGTCATCAGACTCAAACCTCAACTTGCTAACTGGAAGTCATTGTTCCCACTGCAGGGATGCTAGATGGGAAGATGGGCCAGCTTCTCTGGCTCTGTGGTCTGTGATGTGTTACACCAGGATTCACAGCAGCAGCTGATGCAGTTCTGCTTGAAAAGCCACTACTGCTCTATTTCTGCTGCTGCTTTCAGAGGGGTGGAGCAGAATGTTGGAGCAGAACTTCTTGGATTACCTTGCCAAGACCAAGCTGAGCTCCACTAAAGTAATATAAAAATGTTGATGTGAAAAACTACCTGTTTCCCAGAAGGGTAAAAACACAAACAATGTGTAATCCAGATTCAGTTCTTTGACTTTGAATTATGCAGCACAGTATCAGTAACCCTTTGAGAATACAGCAAAACCCAAAATATCTTTGTTACAAGAATAAAAGATAATGAAACCAAATTACCTTTTTCACATTTTTTTCCCTGCCAGCCATGCTTGCATTCACAATAGAAATCCCCCTTGAGATCCTCGCATTTGACAGTCCCTTCTTTATGACAAGGATTGGGAGAACACTGGTTTGGCAAATCTGATTTATGCAAGGAATAAAAACACCAAAACAAAACAGTTGAACACATTGAAGTCACTGACAACCAGGTGTTTCACTCTCATTAAAAGATGGGAATCTTAAACAGTCCTGGGGAATCACTCACAAATACTTGTACCTGGCAAAACTATAAGCTAATTCTTAGTGCTCACATACCAAACAAGCTGTGTCAGGAATTTTGCAGAGCACATGCAGTGGAATTCACTTAATTGTGAAAGAGAGTGAAGTACCACCCCCATATCTGAAGGACATATCCTGAAAGGAATAACTCATTGTAGTTTATTTTTTTTATTCTTGTTAATTTTTGAGAAAAATAAAAAATCAGTATCAACTAAAGTACTCAAGAAAGGATGGACACGCTTTTCAATCACTTTTGGTAGTTAAACTGAGAATCTTACCAGGGCTGATAGATTTCTGGCAAATCCAGCAAAAGTTTATAAATGAAATTTTTATTAGATCTTTTCTATTACATGGAATGAAAATAAAAAAGGAATACCCATGTATTAACAGCCAAGAAATAGCAAACCATTAATCCAGTGTACAAAGAGACAATGTTCCTATGGGGATTTTTAAGCCAAGTTCCAGGATTTGACATTCAGTTTTCTCATTGGAAAGAAGCAAGGGAGTTGTCACCACATTTTGGAAACGATTGAAGGAATAAATCTCAAAGCATCATGTAACTATTCACTAACTGTAGTTACGTGTCCAAATTCACCAACCCACTTACCTGCACAACACCCAGGGATGGTGCTTCAAAGAGGTAGCTAAAGGAAGGAGGAGAGAACACCCTTGTTTCCACAAAAAATGAGTTGGTAGCTATCATGTAGTAGTAACCTATTAACACCAGTGTTCTAGATCAGTGGTCTTCAAAAATATGAATATGTTAACTGTTTTCACAACTTTAACCAGAAGAAACAGTGCAGGAGCTTCTTCTGCAGATTGCAAAGCTCACCAGTTCAAGAACCTTTCTTTTCATTTATCTCCTCCCAGCATTTGAAAGTGCCCAGTGTGTACACACTAAGTGACCAGCAGCAGAAAAGACCTATACTGGTTTCCATGCACTGCTTCTGTTGAGTCCAGTACAGATTCTTGATATTCTGAAACATGACTTTGTAGCATGACAGGAAGGCTTTTAGGTGAGGAACTGTTTGTAGATTAGCAGCCCCATGAAACGTCTCAAACTGAGAAAAGTTAAGACTCCTACTTTTGTCAGGTCTCTTCTCAGCTTCCTCTGTGTGATCCTGAAAGTCACTGTCATGACAAGCTACCTTGAAAGAACTTTAACACTTCTGTGAGTGCGGGCAGTAGCAGCTCCATCTGATGTCTCATAAAGCACTGAACAGCACTTTTGTTTGCACTGACTCTCTCGGATTTAAATCTCAGGTGGTTGAGGTTTGCAGGCATCTCCGGAGGTCACTAGTGTGATGTCCCTGCTCAGGCAGGGCCACCTACAGCCAGTTGCTCAGGACCATAGCCAGAAGGCTTTTGATTATACCAGGGATGGTGACTCCACAGGCTCCCTGGGCAACTTGTGCCAGTTCTCGTTCACTCTCACAATGAAAAAGCATTTCCTGATGTTCAGACAGAACCTTCCAGTTGTGGAGAGCTGGGGCAAAGGCACTGCCAAAGAGGCCAGGCCACACAAAACAAAAAACAGCTACATTGGCTGCCTTAACATCCACCTGCCAGAACACCTCCCAGTACATCACTGCCCAGCTGACGCTGCTGGAGGTGGAGAAGTGGTGAAGGAGAGGCTAGGTTAAGGTGGCAATGAGCCACAATAGAGCAAGTCTGTCCAGGATGCTCCTTTTCCTAGACAGATCAGAGTGTGTACATTCAAAAGGATGGTTTAGGTATAGTAAGCCAAAGGGGTTTTTTTAATCAGCTCACACCAAGTCTCCTAAATATGGCAGTGTTTTCAGCCATTTGATAAGCAAATCCAGTCAACAGGATTATGCACAACTTATCTGGTGTATCCACAAGTTCCTGATTCTTCCCCTCAAACTGGATTCTGACATGCCTTGCAGAGCCACATGGTAATAACAATGCCCATCAGGGTAACTGCCCATGGTATAATCCATAAATATCAGCCACAGAGATTTCTATCACACAAACACTGTGCTGATTGTTTGCTCCCTCTTATCACAAGTTTAAGAACATAAGATACACTCTTATACTCTTCTGGTGCCTTCACAGTTGTGTTATTCTGCTGGTTTCATAGAAGGTGCTCCTGACTGAAACCGTTGCAAAAGAAAAAGCCTGAGCTTTTGTTCCCATTCATTTACATGACAGTTTTTTGGTAAAGCTGTTAAAAGTAGTGATGAACATGACTTTTTCATGTGCTTTGAGCTGTGTCTGATAGCACCTATGAAGCTCATAAGTGCAGACAGAGAATAGAACTACCAATTCCATCTTTGAAATCTGAATGGAAACCAGACTTTGCTTATGCCCACTGACTGTCACTTTCAGTTCATTACTTTGTTCTGTGAATTTATTTTTTGATACCCACAAAATGGTTCATATTGAAACTTCATAAAATGCTAGGCTGCAAATAATTACACTCAGTAATTTAATAGTTAAAAGCAGGCACATGTGACCTAACAAAAATATAATTGAGTTTTTAAAGGCCATGTGTAACTTCATTTCCCAAAAGTCCTGTAGAACTTTCCAAAGCCTTGTAGAACTAAATCCTTAATTCCTAGATGACCTTGAGGATGTCTTTTAGAAAAAGATCCAGACATGCAGAGAAAGTATAGGTATCCATGTGTAAAGTAAGCAACTATCTGCAAAGCAATTATAAATACTCATCACAGTCAATGAAGATAGTACAATAAACAGAGTCTGTGGAGGGACTCAGGTCTCCTCAGAGAAGACACAGTTTGGTTGGGGGAATCCCTCTAGAACCAGAGGAGATTAACTCTCTGCTGACTGTGATGGGAATACTGCTCATTTAAGCACCCAAGCTGGAAATCCCTATTTACACACTGTATCAAATCCTCTGAATCTGGAGCTGAATCCTAGCTGTAACCTGATCTCAAGAGTTTATGAAATCAGGAATCCTCACATATTCTGTCTAATCTGTCTAATTACTGTCATACTTAAATTTTTTACCTTTTTTCCAGTATAAACTATATTAGTCAATCACTCTCCAGCCCTTTGGTTGTTCAATATCTTTTTACAACAAAAGAACCTTTCACTACCTTGTTTTGAGAGGAGAAAGGTGGAAAGTTAAGAAGAAAGGTTTGGAAGTGTCTTGCAGGCACAAACCCATAGAGCTACATAGTCATTTGGCAGCATCTGTGAAAAATTAAGAAACACACTAGAATTGGCCAAGCACTAAGGCTGTCATTCTTCCAAGAGCATTTCAGGCTCCTTCTCTGTTACTTTTCCTGTGAATTGGCTAGACAAAACTCAGGCATTTAAAAACCTTTTAATATTTTAATGGGGGAAAATATTATAATTTTCTTTCCAAACCACTGCATCTGCAATGGGCAGAAATCCCTAAAAACATTTATTCAACTTTTATTTTTTTCAGATTTTTTCATCACTACCCTTTAGACTCTCATTTCAGAGACCTGATTAGTTGTTTGGAACAAGTGTTCCCAGTCAATATCACCATTTTCAGCAGAAACTCCTGCCTCTTTGCTGTGCCACATGCACAAGTAAATGTAAGCATTCAGCCTCACATCCCACTTTGGACTAGCTGGCATACTGAAGCCAACACAGGTACTACAGGTCTGAGAATTCCCAGTTCAAAGGACTCAACATCCATAAGTGACACTGCTGCAGTATGTGAGGGAAATTCTTCACATACCACTTACTAACCTTAGAATTCACTCTTAAAAAAAGGTTGTTTTAATGCAGTTTATAAATGTGAAAAGATGACTAAATATTGATCTTGCTTTGGTAGCACTTGTATGAACACATGACTAATTAAACGTGATCACAATAAAAGACTGACACCCAGGACTGAAAAGAAAATAAATATACATACATCTGATTTTCTCCACATTTGAACTGCTCACAGGATATATTTAGAATACTTATGCAGTTTTCTACCTTTAGCATTGCAAAACTGCAAAAGGCAACTAGAAAGGTATTAAGAATTAATAAGAATTCATTAAATTTTCTTGTGTAATGTTAGTGAAGAACAAAAAAACCCTTCACACTCTACAAAGTTATCAGTTTATACTCCAAATTAATTTGAGGTTTTAAAGGTAGCAATATTCAAAGCATAGTCACATGATACATGAAACTGATCTATTAATATAAAGAAGGCTGGGACAAGCCTGGCTTGACTTTAAACTTTTCTTGAGGTTCCTAAATGGGGTAAGCCACAGCTAGCATTTAAAATAACAGAAATCGAGGGGTCCAACATTGTGTATAGCCTTATGGTACCTCCTAGCTCTTGTCCCTCTTGCTTCTCATATTATTCAAACTTTGGGAAACTGGTGGGAAAGAAACTTGCACCGTAAAATATCAAAGCACTAAAACAGGACAGCAAGACGGCATTAGGTTATAAAATGGGAAAGATTTTGTTTAGTGGTATGGAGTCTTCAGCCTGGAGAACAGGAAGACCAGCACTGAAATACTACCAAAAACAGAGATGGGTGAGCTAGTCCCACACCTTCAGGTAGAATGAGAGAAATTTAACTACAAAATAAAACCCAAAAGTGCTTACTATGAACACATGTAAGGAAATCTGGATTTCTCGTATACGGCGACCCATATTTCTGAATACAAGCTGAAAAACAGAAAATGAAATTGTTACAGTGGTGAAGGACAACAGTTCAAAGCACATAAAATGATACCTAGCCTGCAAGGATTTGGAGGGTAGATACAAAATCTATGCAATATTATCATCTCTCAGGTGCCTTAAAATTCTGAAATTCATTAAAATATTTTAGCTTTGATGTACAGCAGTTAAAAGCCATTTGAAGAAGATGATCACTTAACCAGATGCTACTATGGTTCTAAAAATATGGTGGTAGCAACTCCAATTTGACCAACTAAACTTCTTAAAATATGTAAAAAGCACACCGTTTTTTCTCCCACTGTGGCATTTGTGATCTTAAATATATCATATTTAACACAAACAGAAAGTAGTATGATGCCATGACTATGATACAGTCAATAGAATAAGGCAGTAGATCAATCAGGCACCTGTTTATTTTTAAACGGAGATTAGTTAAAAACTAACTTAATTAAAAATGGAAAAAAGTAGAAAACTACAAATTATTTCATAACACTGCAAGCCACAGATGCATACACAACATCAAGATTTTAACATGCAGAAAGCACATAAAGCATCTCTGTCTGCAAATGTACACATAAGTAAAAACACACACCTCAAAGTACGATTAGAAACATAAAGTCTATCTTAAAAGTTAGCAATGCATGTTTATTGCAATCAGATTTCCATCCCTTTCCTTAGCAGAGACTTCAGCTGTGACAAGCTCCAGTGTTAGGCACATACCAGCACTCCTACAAAGTAGAAATAGAAGCTGCAACTCACCCAAGTATTTCGGGTAAAAATAATCCTGTAGAAAAAAAAAAAAAAAAGCAAAGATTTATTGAGTCATATTTGCTTCTATTTTCATACTATTTAAGACCTGCTGTTACTTTAGTGGTCTTGTACGGCAGTTGTTTTACAATTCCAAACACCTAGTTTCCTTTTATTCTGAACTAGGAGCAGCACAGTATTATACATGCATTTTGTCATTTGAAAAGCAAAGGAACATTAGCTTGTCTCAAGGTATTTTTTGATGGCAGCTGATCTGGTCAGTGACTGAGTATGAAGATACCCTCCAAGGGATAAAGCTGCTGCTGATGGTATGAGGTAGGGGAAGGAATTGAAATCTGGGGCAAAACTCCAGAGGGAAGAGTACAGGATCATTCAGTCACCCTGTGACTCCTCAAAAGCAGGTGCAGGACGTGGGCCTGAACACCACAGACCCTAGAAAAAGTACTTTTTGCTCTTACAAGGAGCACCCTACAACTCAAACAGCACCCATTGCTGTACCACACATCACATCCTGGGTTCTCGAAGAAGGGAGCAATGACACTTTGCAAGAGGGGGGAAAATTGACATCCATTTGTCTAAAGCCAGACTGCAAAGAGCATTGCCATCCCTCTCGTGCTAGCTACATGGTCGTGCATTACTGTTCCCTACTTTGCATCAACAAAGTGCAGCCACAGAGTGAGAGCAGCATCCCTGTGCTGCTGTGATGTAAATCTAACCTTGCATGTTAGAATAGTCAGCCTGGTGAGGCCTTGTGAGTCACATGGCTGCTTGCACCAACACAGGGAAACACCAGAAAATGCAGCTGTGCTGCATGGAAGAATGGGAGATTGGCTGAAGCTGGCAACTGTATCACATTCTTAAAAAATACAAAACTTCATAGCCAGGAAAAAAACTTTTTTTTCCACCTTCATGCTGGTTTTCATAATGTTTAAGTCACTAATTCAAGTGCTGTTAAAATGGCAATTGGGGCATTGAATGGGAAAAGCTTAAGCATTGTATCAGTGCTTAATTTTTTTTTTGTTTAAATAAACCACTTCTCAGCTAATTATGAAAGCATATGCACAGTATAATTCTCTTTTATGCAAGAGGAACAATATCCATATACCATTATCTTCAGTGAGATTGGGACAGTAAATACCCTGCATTCTACAAAATTAAATTGGTCTACACAATGTGCAAGAGAAGAAACTATTTTATCTTCTCCTCTTATTACAGATGCTTGGATTAGATCTATACAGGCACGTATAAACAACAGAGACAGGCACACACCATGATTCAGTTTGATCCGGACTGTCCAGTGCAATCAATTTCACTGCTGTCATTTACCAGAAGAATCAATTGCTTCTGGCAAATATGCTCCAGTTACTGAAATACACCATGTAAATATTCAGCCTAAATTATGAGAGCATCAGCAAAGAAGTAGAAGCAGCGTCTTACACTAATGTTTATTTCAATTCTGATATGAGGATGATATGCTTGGCATATTTTGGGGCTGAGCTTTGAAATGTTTCTTCAGCCTGAAATGTGTCATCAGAGCAATGAGCTCAGAACCCACTATGGTCCTTGTTCACTTTTTTTTTTAAGTTTTTGTTTGGAAAGGAGAAGTCAAAAAAAAATGCAATCAAAATAAAAGTAAATCTAAGCAGTCTAAGTATTCAGATGGGTGCCTATATGTGCTATAACTACAAACTGAACTTCAACTGGCACTTGAGGAGAAAAATATAGGGGTACGTAAAAAAATATTCCAAATATTTATTTCATTATTTCCCCTTTATTCTATGTACTTCACAAGAATGTGCAGATGTATTTAACCACCAACACGATAATCCAGACTCTGACAAGAACAACTATTCTGGCACTCACAGGACAATAAATAGGAGCTTTCATATTAATGGCTATCAGCCTAATTGCTCCATGTCAGTGGTGGCAAAGGCATTTTCTCCTTGACTGCTGATGAATGAGCTGAGTGCTAGAAAAGTGGGATAGGATTTATTTTTGTAAACGTAAGTTCCAAACTCAAACTGACTGTGTATTGATTCAATGCCAATTGAACAGCACATAAGTGAAACTCTAAGGCATTGTACCACCAGAAATTTCATTCCACAAAATATGTGGCCAAGTGATTTAAACAGGAGGCTATTACTAGAAATTTAGCTCTTCTTTCCCGGTCTTTGTCATTTGCTTATGTTATACAAAGGCACATGCTGATCACTAGCACTTCTCCAGGTTTAAGAAACCTGCTGATACTATCATTCTAAAATAAAGACACATGCTCACAGGTTCTAACATTACTCATTCTTGTATGATTAACTTTTCGTTCTTTTCCTTACTCAATTTTTCTTACAGCTGGCTTTTGTAAATACAATGACAATGCATTTACATTCACAGAAAAGATTAATCAAGAATGAAGAATGAATGATCTTACACCTTGAAAAAAGGAACCTGCTTAAACTGCAGTCCCTTTTCAAAAAACACTGATAAGAAGTTTTCTTGGTTAAAAATTCAAGCTGCGCCTAACCTGATACAGATTATTTCTCATGTGACACTGAACTCTTTAATGTCTTTTCAGTCTTCTGTGGTGTACTAAGGTTTAATGACCCCCAGATGTTAGAGAAAATTAAAATCCTATGCAGGGTTAGGTCCCTGTGAAAAGCGTGCAACTCATCTTCTTTCTACTAGAAGTGTTCAATTGTATTTTCAGGATTCTACAAAAATGCCAAGATAAATGCTTTGAGGCTTGTTAAGAAGGAGTTGGCAAAGATTCTCTGTTACTATTTTGCTGATTTTTCAACAAGCCACTTTCAATTTCAGGCTCAATAAACTTCTCACCATCCAGAAAGTCACACACCGTTCACAGGATCAAAACACAGGAAGTAATTTAACTGTTACCACTTGGGTGGCAAAAATCACCACAGAATTATGTAAGTGTTAAATTTTCTGCTTGGATTCTGACAAAAAAGGTCAACATTTAAGTGTGGTCAGCCCTTCCCCTTTAGATCTGCTTGCTAATTACTGCTGAAAATAAAAGCAGGAGCAATTGGCTTTTAAATTAAAAAGTTATAAACACATACATGTTGAGCATAAACATCCTCTGGACAGGCTGCTGCACAGACACTGACCTCACCAAGTTCTTTAATCCATCTGTCCAGCAGTAATGCCCCAGTGGAGGCAAAAGGAAGACAAAGGCTCCAGAAACTCCAACCTCCACAAGAGACCAAACATCACAAATGTACCTTCAAAAATTCCAACCTCTGTGACTCTTCCCACCAAGAAAACTTAAGTGTATTTCCACCTCTCTTCTGTGTGACCCACCAAACTTTCTCTCTGTCGGACTTCTACCTATCAACCAGTATGGTTGGGATGGTAGAAGCTACAATAGTCAAGGGCCTGGCAGCAGAACACTGGCAGCCTGTGGTGCCCTAGTAGCATGAATGGTCCTTTTGTAAATTATATCTTTTATCTGCTGCTACTACAGGTCAAACTTGTAGTATGAGCTGTAACTCACCATGAGTTACACATCGTGTGCCACCCAAAGTACAGCTCAGCAGAGATCTCAGGTAAAGAGGAAGAAACAGGAGAGACTGGGAAGTGCCTAACATCCACACATCTCCACCCTTCCAGTGGTGTGGAAAGCATGGCATCAGGCCAGCCTCTCCAGACAGGTCCTGGCTTGCTTATTTCAGCTCAGTTCCAGACCTTTCTCTTGCTGCCCAGGAGACAGAGCTGTGCTCTAAAAGAAAAGATTTAAGCTCTACAGCCCCCACCCATTTCACACAAATATATATGTACATGCTAGAAGCAAGTCTTCTGATGGATTAAATGCAATTATTTGCTTCCACAGCAGTGTTGCAAGATGTGAGAGTGCATGCTTTTATTTCAAGGCAGAGTAACACCGAACATGGGCTAAGGTGTTCCTCTCCCACCTGTAGCTGGAGCTTACTATTACCCTGATAAAACAGCCACTTCAACACTTAGTGGGTGTACCTAAGAGAGCATAATTTTAAAAGTGTCCTCAAAAAAACTAACCCAAGCAAACAACTCCCCAAAACTCCAGGTTTTTCATTTTTGTATTTGGCTTTTTTCCTTCCAAATGATAAGAACAGTTTCTCTGGGGCCACCCCCAAATGCCACTCACTGAAACAACAGAGGAGAACAGCAACATGAAGGTAAGAATTCACAGCTGTGGAGTGGAAGGGGCAGAATGTTAGCCTCCTATGTCAGCCTCCCTGCCAAAGGAAACCTACATTGGGTCTGGGGTCACCATCTATTTTCAACTCTATGGCCAAAGTCCACAGTGGTAAAATCAAGAAGTTATTGTAATTATACAGGGTATGCATTCGTCCTGCTGCGTTTTAGAGAACATGGAAAAACACCAAATCAGAACAGGCGTTAACATGAGTCACTGTATAAAAATAGCCCTTCTGAAAACATAACAATGACCCTGTCAACACCAGGAAAATGTTCTCACTGTTGCTTTACTTTAAAGTAACTGGTAACACTGGAGACATCACAAAAAAGGGCCTACTTACTGCTTCTGTTTATTTTGCTTGAATACCAGGTCAGGTAAGACTGCAAGGCATGGAATCTTACAAAAATCATATTTGAGCTCTAGAGGCCACAAATAAAAGATGTAGTTTATAGGAAGGCTGCTCGTGTTTCTGGACATCTGTCTCTTGGTGGCCCTGCTTGGACAAGGAGGTTGCACCAAAAGGCCTCCAGAGGTGCCTGCCAACCTCAACCAGTCTGTGATTCTGTGACTGCAGTGCCACTAACACTGGAGCATTTCACCGACTTGTGTTAGCAACAGTGATTTCTAAAAAGCACTTTCTTAGTTACCTAGTTACATCTAAGAGAGTAGCAACAACTCCCACATGATGCCCTTTCCTCATTTCCATATAATGACTCTCCCCTTTCCATCAGGACTGAATGTTTGTCTTGGTTATGGCCAGACCTCATTTATAAATGTTCTTCATGTTTCCACACTAAGGGCTTGCATTATCCTTGAATGAATCACTG